ACACTTCAAATTCATTCAAGGACCATCTTTTCTTAGCCTACAGTACATAATTAAACATCTACACTTTAAATTTTATTGCAAAGATTACATGGTTTCTCATTCTGCATTTCTTTGTTATTGTGAGTGGCCTAAAGGTACTGCATTTCACTCATTGTTTTCTGTACTGTATATTTTTATGTCAACCTGACCCAAGCTAAAGTCATTCAAGAGAAGGAACCATCGATTAAGGAAATGCCTCTTTAAGACTGGGCTGTAGGGAAATCTTGTGGAATATTTGTTTAAATTATCAGTTGACTAGGAAGGTTGTAGTCCATTATATGTGGTCCACATCTGGGTTGATAGTCCTGGCTTCAATGAGAAAGCAGGCTGAGCAAGCTATGGAAAGCAAGCCAGTAAGCAGCACCCCTCCACTGCCTCTGCATCAGCTCCTGAATCCATGTTGGCACTGCTTAAGTTCCTGCCTTCATGGTTTTGATGAGAAACTGTCATATTAGAATTAAAACCTTTCCTCCTTAGGTAAGCCTAAACTACGTTGGAAATTGTATAGAGTGGGGTGTTGCTGTGACAGGCCTGACCATGTCTGGGGGAGGATTGTGGAAAATCCTTGAAACTCTGAGAAGAAAAGTTATTGAATGTTCAAGGACTGGTGAGCTGGTCTGTGGTAATTTGAAGAAGTTTTGAGAGAAGTACAATGATGGAGGCTTGGCTTATGCCAATCAAGAAGGAAGTTTGAGAATTAAAGACTGTCAGAGCTGTTGTGCATGTGTTATTTTGCATTAAATTTTCTGGACAGCTGGGGCTGTGATAAGTAAAAGAACAGCACCATGGGATTGAAACCTTCACTTTACTGGGACAATTGAAGTCAGTTACCTGGAGCTAAGAAATTAGCAGTGATTAAAAAGCGCTGAGAGGGGAGAGGCAGTTAGGAGAAAAAGAAGCAGAGAACAGGAGGCAAGAGGAGAACATGAGGAAAAATGAGTCCGGGGAGGAATAGAGGAGAGCAAGGAAAGAGATAACAGAAGGAGCCATTGTAGGTTTAAAGAGAAATCTAGCACTAAGGAAATGTCCAGAGATCTACAACGATCACCCCAACTAAGAACCTGAGCTATAGAGGAGAGGCTACCTTAAATGTCCTTCCCTGCCTGATAATGAGATGGATGACTACCTTTTATGCCATTCTAGAGCCTTCATACTGTAGCTGATGGAAACAGAAACAGACACCCACTGAGCCTAAGTCCTGGAATTTAGTTGCAGAGACGGAGAAGTGATGAGCCTGGTCAAGACCAAGCTACAGAAACCCACAGAGACAGCTGACCTGAACAAATTGTCGCTCATGGACCCCAGACTGATAGCTGGGAAATCAGCATAGGATGGACCCAAACCCCTTGAATGTGGGTGTCAGTTGGGAGGCCTGGGCAGTCTATGGGGCCCCTGGTAGTGAATCAGTATTTATCCCTAGTACATGAATGGGCTTTGGGATCCCATTCCACATAGAGGGATACTTTCTCAGCCTAGACACATAGGGGAGGGAATGGGCCCTGCTTCATAGGAAAGGCTTTGAAGACTCCCCATGGAAGACCTTACCCTTCCTGAGGAGCAGAAAGGAGGGTTAGGAGTGAGGTGCAGGGCAGTGGGGGGGGGGGCGGGATTGACATGTAAAACAAGCTTGTTTCAAATTTAAATTTTAAAAAATGGAAGGAAAAAAAAAAAGAGAGCTGAGAATATCTGAGGTGAAATCTCCTTAGAAGTGCTTCCTGAGAGTCAGAAGACAGAAGCTGTTGCAAAGGTGGCTAAGGCTGTACCTTACTCTAGCTGCTGAATTTGGTAGTGTAAGAATTTTGAAGGCAGGAAGGGATTATGGATGGCAGCTGAGATTTGCCCCTGTAAAAAGCCAGGAGTCCATTGTTGAAGGTGCAGCTTCACGGAACAGTTGAAGACCAGGGACTAAAGTGGGTCAGAGTATTTGAGGTTTGGAACCATGAAGAGATTCTAGGAGAGACTACTGGTGAAAGTGCAGCCCTGTTTCAGCAAGGGACCCCAGCACTTTGGAGATGCCAGTGCCATGATATGTCCACCACGAACAGCAGCCACTGTGGAGGGTAGCCTGGCTATGCTCAGAAGAGAAACTGCTTGATGGATGTGGAGGAGCATGGACCCTGAGAAGTGAGTGAACCAAGACCCTTGGAAGATCCTAGAAGATCGCAAGGGAATCATGTGTGTTGGATGTTGAGTTTGGTTTTACTTTGATCTGATTATGACTGTGCCCTGGTTCTTCATCCTTAAAATAAAATAAAATAAAATAAAATAAAATAAAAAAGGATTAGACTTATTTAATAGCTAAGCTGATGAGCTGAGAAACTTTTGGTTTTACAAAAGAGAGTTTGGATGAGAGGCTTGGGGTTTTTTTAAGTTGGTTTTGTTTGTTTGCTTTTGTAGTATTTTATTTTAATTTTATTTACACTGGTGTTTTTGTCTGCATGTTTGTCTATATAAGAGTGTCAGGTCTTGGAGTTACAGTTATTAGCTGCCATGTCCATGTGGGTGCTGGGAATTGAACCCAGGTTCTCTGGAAGAGCAGTCAATGCTCTTAACCACTGAGCCATCCCTCTAGCCCCCAAGCTTGCATTTTTTTTAAAAGTGAGTTTGTGAAATGATGGACCTTTAAGGTTGTAAAATGTTTGATGCTGTAATGTTTATATTAATGTGTGGTCTTGGGGATGAACAAGAAGAAAAGTTTGTGGCTTTCCAGTGATATTCATGTGTCAAGTTGACAAGGGGTCAATTGTACTGGATAGTTTTATGCTAACTTGACACAAGTTAGCCATCTGAGAGATGGGAACCTCAATCAAGAAAATATTGGTCTGTAGGCAAGTCTCTAGGAGACCTTCATTAGTAGTAGAGCTCATCCCCCACCTTAGTGGGTGGGTCTTACAAAAATCCTGGTCCTGGATTTTTGTAAGAAAGTAGGCTAAATTAGCCAGAGGGAACAAGCCAATAAGCAGCACCCCTCCATAGCCACTGCATCAGCTCCGACATCTAGGCTCCTGGCCTTCTTGATTTCCATCCTTCACTACTTTTGAAGATTAACTGTTATATGGGAGCATGAATGAAATAAACAACAGCAATGCTAACTCTAAATTAAGACATTTTCCAATTTGGATTCTGGCTTATATCAAACCTTCAGTAAATCACTGAATGAATAAATAGAAAATAATCTTTCACTTTTCATATGTGGCAATAATTTTGAGTTTATACTGATGAGATTATTGAAAACATTTTTCTTTTTTGTTGTTGTTTGATACAGGGTTTCTTAGTGTTGCCTTTCCTGGCCTCAAATTCACAGAGATCCACCTGGCTCTGCCTCCTGAGTGTTGGAATTAAAGGTATTGTGCTGGCACATGCCAGCCTTGGAAACATTTCTAAAAGAAAAAGAAAAAGTTTGTATGGTGTTAGTTTAGTCTTACATAGTTTTGTGTCTGCTTGGGGTTTTTATTGGATTTTGCGAGGCTACTGGCATTCCTTTTAGCATGATGGGTTTGTTGTTTAGACAATAATACATGAATATGGACTTTACTTAGTTCTTAAGCAGTTGATATGAAAAAAAGTCTTAATGTTTGGAAACTCCTTTATTTTCTTAGAACTATCCTTTGCTTTCCAAGAATACAGTAGAGAGTGATAGTTCCTGTGGTAGAGTCCATTACTTTGGGTACTGATGTATGGATGTATAGACACACAATAATCTGGGACCTTTGGCTTAATTCAGAAGTTATAACTATGGTGTGTATGGAATTACACTGGATCTCATTTTCAGATCTGTTCATTACATGTAAAGTCATCTCCCTCACTCAGTTTTATTAGAAATTGCCAATCCATCTCTTTTTTATCTTTTAAATTATCCTACAATAAATTTCATGTTTTTACTATATTTCTATGTTCATATCTCACCATAATTTACATGTATATGCCATAATTTTTCATTATATAAAATATATGCTTTATAGGTAAAAATTTTTTTTTAAATAATGTGATTTCATATTTAGTAGTTTATGTAAGGATACGCTGTAAAATTATTTCTTTCTCAGATTGTGTTGAAATGAAAACTCACCATGGGATTTCATTTTAAAGTTTTCATGAGGAATACAATATTGTCTTTTCTTTGGATTAAGTATATGTGGCTTATAAGAAGTAAATGGTCACTTAGAGTTAAATTTTCATTTAAGGCATGTTTTTTTTCTCCTAATTTGTCATAAGTACCATCAAGCTAACGAAATGTACCACAGTCAAAACTAAATAATTTAACAGAATTATAAAGAAGGAAATTTGTAAAAGTATTTATGAATCCCATTTAAACTGTAATCATATCTTCCATGGAAATTACTTGAAATAGTTGTTATTATAGTTATTTATACTTATTTTTATAAATGAAACTATGGTGACATATGTTAATGGCTTGATGCATAAAGACCTAACTATATATACATAAAGGCAGACCTGAGTTCAGATCCCCACTATCCACAAAAATATCTAGGTACCTTCTAGTAACCATAGTTCTGAAAGTATTGAAAAAGGTGGATCAAGGATTTATTGGACTGCCACTCTCTTTGGACTGGGACATATTCCAGATTCAGTAAGAAAAAGACAAGTACATCCACACACATACATGTACAATGATGTAAAACACACACATACAGAGTCACATGTTCACACACAGGCATACATACATTTACAAAAGACCTATCAGTCTTATCAAGAGCACAATATCTAAATATTTTGAAATATTTGAACCACCAGGTATAGATTATTTTTTTTAAAGAGTGAGAATCAGCAAAGAAAGCTTCAGGATTGAGGAGATTATCTGTTATAATTCATAATTCCTGGTTGGAAAAAATATTAGACAAATCCATGACTTTAGCATTATCTATAATGTAATGAATATACTACAGTGTGATCTGTGTTAACATTTTACAATGGACATCTTTTTCTTCCCTTATTTTCTCCAGCTGTAAGCACAAGATGTACCTCGAAAGGCTGCCAAACACCAGCATCATTATCCCATTTCACAATGAAGGCTGGACCTCACTTCTGCGGACCATACACAGTATAATTAACCGAACCCCAGAGAGTCTGATAGTAGAAATCATTCTAGTCGATGACTTCAGTGATAGAGGTAAGCTGCACTGGTAGCATTTTGTATGAGACTGTAATTTCACATAATTATAAAAAGAGAATGATGGTGAGATGACTTCTTTTTCATCCCATCGGGAAGAAGATCATGAAGTTTTACCCATGTTTTAAATGCAGAAAAAAAAATGTTGGCCAATTGCAAAAGTAACATAATGAGAAGCTACTAGCATAGTAGGTGTCATTGGTAATAAGAAATTTGTATTACCTTCTATTGATAATCAGACAGAGCATGAGAAAATGCCTCAAGCTCTACTTCCAGGCATGATAAACCTGGAAACTATGTTGTTACAGGTACATGTCAATAGAGGGTTATTCAAATAAGTCTCCAAAAATGTGTTTCTATTTCTGAATATTATTGTACCTTATTGTTAACCAGTCTAAAGCATTCTTCAAGTGTTGCTTGTGTGATTTCACAAATATTACAAGTTACAAGGGATGCAAATAAATATTTTTACTTGTGATTTCAGGTCCTTATCATGTCTGAGCATCACAGAAAGTATTTGCTATAACAGCATAAAAGAAAACCTGACAATATTAATGATTACCATCTCGGTGAAAAACAGTTTGGGTCATAAGACAGGGGGTGAAATCATAAAAAGTTTGCTGAGTGTTGGAATTCTTAAATTATATTTGGTTGAAATAGGCAATTAACAATGAAGATAGGAAAGCACATCTCAGTATGAATATGAATAGATGAAAAAGAGGGTTGAAGTTATTCTCATATTTATGAATATACATCTCCATACTATAGTTTAGTGAATGAAGGTACTTTAATTAACATTAACATGACATCTGCAAGAAAGACTAGCAATAGCTTATTTGTGTTGATATTATTATTTTATCACAAAAGAAATCCCATCTTGAAATAATAAGGCTGAAGTGTTCTGGAAACTATCTGCAATAAGCACAATGTTTTTCACAGCATTTAAAAGTTACATAGAAGAATGCTTTGTGGGCTATATTGAGAAGGACTGAGTTGAAATACTGATGGGAGGATTGCTGAAGATCAGTAAGTTGTGGACTTTATATGTCAAAAAGTGAACAAAATCAATATTATTTTATTCTGGTGTAAGTGGCTACCTTGGTCATTTCTGTTTGATTTTAAAGATGTTTCTCCATTCTGTTGCTTAGGATAAGTATATATTTGACTATCTCAGAATAAATTTCAATGTATGGAACTGCAATAGTCAGATATCTCTAAATATTAAATAGCACAATATTTCATTTTTATTATAATTATTGTTAATACTTTTAAAGTAGCCATATTTATCCCAGATAAACATAAGCATTTAAATAAATCTAAAACTTTGTTTCTGAGAAATACAATTACAATAAGATCCACAATTGCAGATCACCAAGTGAATGGTCTTTAGGGTTGATTAGGGGCAGATGATATTAGGTGGTATAAGTGTGGGCAATTTTTCTGCATAATTAACTTTGTACTGATAAATTGTTTATTATGGCAGAATTTTTAGCCTGTAGTACTACAGTAGGAAATGTATTATAGTAAAATAGTGTGATATTTGAGCATAGTTTGCAGAATATATTCAGATACTTTTCAGCTGAAATGCTATAAATGAAGAGAATCAACAGTACCTAAATTTCTTAGCTCCAAATTACTCTTGTCTTTGGTGCAGTAGCTACTTTAATAGTACCCATTTTTCTACTGTTAGTGTGATTATTGGTACAGATGTCAAGAAATGAAAACAGGGCCAGTTAGAACAGCAATGGTGATCTTTCTCTTTATAATTGAAATTTTCAAAGGAAAACTATCAAATGATGATGCAAAATTTCACTTATTCTACTCATTTTATTACTGATTTTATTTTTAGACTATCTATTTTATTTTAGACTATTTGTTATCATAGAATTCCCCCTTTCCTCAAATTTACCCAAATCTTCCCCACACATACCAACTCAATTTTACATTCTCTCTCCTGTCTCACTCTTCATTTCCCCCCCCCCCAAAATAGCAAAATGGCAATAAAACAAAATGTGAAAATCCAGAACAAACAAACAAGAAAACCTAATAAAACAAAACAAAGCAAAAACAAAAACCAAGACAAAAGTCACACATAAAAAACAAAGAGTCTATTTTGTTCTTGCTAACTATTTCTGGGTTTGGGGCCTGACCTTGGCTGTGGTTGATATACCCAGTAGCTCTCCATTGGGAAAATTCAGCTGTAAGTCACATTTTGAAATAAAATGCAAAATTAAATTTTGAAAGAAAGAAGTGATAAAAATGCCTCTATAATAGTATGTTTCACACAAATTATGTGAAATAGGAAAATACCTTTCCCATATTTTTGTTTGGGATTATGTATCTTTTAAAATTATTTTAGTATATATTATATTCCTATGTTATATATTATAATCCTATATACAACACTGAGTATGTCAGTTAACTTTCCAGAGCCACATCCATTCTATCAAAGGGAGAGAATGGCATGTCTCCTCATGTAAATTATAATGAAGATGTGTCTTGAGTGGTCACATAACCAGGTGAAGCATAGAATAACAACCTGAACCATTGACTTCATCTCTTCATTCGACTGTACCATCACATACTCCCATACAACTCTAAAATGATCTCCATTCTTTTGAATATATTTGTATTTTCATCAAATATACTCCATAAATCTCATATTTATCTATCGCCTGTCATCTAGCTATTACCAGAATCAAATTATCTGGAATACATATGATAACTATTTATAGTTATTCATAAGTTTTGGAAATTTTTGGAGTACCTAAACAGAGAGAACCATCCATATGAGTTTACTAACTCATTGTAGATATGTTAAATAAGTAAAATCCCAAGAATTTAATAAACATTGATATCATGCTATCTGTCGAGGCTATGCAAATATATTTACAGGCAGATATAACAGAATTTTTCAAAAATTATTTTACCATGATAAGGTAATTAAGATACCCTAAGGCTGGTCTTACTTCTAGAGCCTCCAAGGCAGAAAATATTTCTATCATCTTTGAACTTGATAAATCTATATATAGACATTCTATTAATGTTATGATTACATGATCAATAGCATACAGATTATATATATATATATATATATATATATATATATATATATGTATACATATTAGCATGCCTTAGTTTTTTTTTTACAATTTCATAAACTACAACCTTACATTAATTTTTTTACAAACTCTTTAAAATTAGAACAAGCAAGCAAGACAAATTTAAAGTTTGTTGGTTTCCTTGAGGAAATTATATCTGAAGTTTTACAACTTTTTTTTAAGTAATACATTGCAGTATGCGACCTCACTACTTACCAGCATATGTCTTCCGGATATTCTGCAACATCCTTCAGCCAAAGGCAATAAAAGTTTGACAAGACTTAATCAAAATTCCCTGCCCTATATATTAGGTGCTAGATGTCAATAGAATAGTGACAAAAAATGAAGGATGGAAGTATTTTAGCTATGTTTGCAGTTCATTTATAACATCACTTGGCTATACCTATTTCTAATGCATACAAGTATTACAGTAATCCACAAATTCTGTTATAAAGAAAACACTAAAATATCATGTAGTTATAAATAATTCTGCTTTATTACTATGTGGTTTTCTCAAAAACCTGCCTAAGTAGGATTGACCTAGTTCTCAAAAGTTATTTTTTCAAATCAGTAACCCACCTAGGAGTTCTCAGTTCAAGTACTTTTTGCAATTTTGCAAAGCAACATTGGTGAAAAATTATTGTTTTTGTCTCAGAAAATAAGCATACTGTCTTTAAAATGTTAAGATGGAGACCAGCAGGTAAACTTTCAAACAACTCCTGCTCTGGTTTTTACTATTTAGTTCTCAATTTTCTTTGCCCCAATCAAGCTCCTAGAGATAGGTTTTACAACTTAACTCGTGGCCTGTAACAAGGTTTCATGATAACTTTAAAGCATGAGTAATCCTGGGCTTATCTCCAAATTCCAGGCAACCTTGCCAGCATCCCCATGGAAAATGTGTGAAATAAGTTGGGGCTTATCCTCAGAGATTGGGTGTGTTTGAACCTGACAATTCTATAAACTTCGTATGGTTAGACAAGCGCAAGTCCAAGTCAGGGCTAGTCACAGGAGGACTACAGACACATTTCTGTCAACCTACCATACATGGAGAGGTTTAACTGTGCATGTAGGAATAGACACAAAAGTACAGCTATGCGTACACTCTCACATAATATTTCCCTTCCTTGTTTCAAGCTTCATTGTGAACCCAGGTAGTCAGTTCCCATTTGTGTTTCACAGAGAACTATTTTTCTCTGGGTGCTAGATGGGCATAAAAAAAAGAGATATAAACTACCTTTATAGGATGGCAATTATATTTAAAGAAATTCAACTTACTCTTTCTCAGACTATTGTGGGATGTGAAGATGTGTCTATATTTTGCCTCATTGCCTAAGGTTTTTGATTGGTTCAATAAAGAGCAAAATTGCCAATTGCTAGGCAGGAGAAGATAGGAGATTTAGGAAGAAGAGAGGTGGGTTTTCACCAGCTAGACATGAAATTAGGTGGGAATTCAGAATGGAGGAGAGGTAAAGAGCCATGCAACAGAATGTGGGTTAATAAAAAGAGGTCCATTTAAGTTATAAGAGCTAGTTGGGAACAAGTCTAAACTAAAGCCAAGCTTTCATAACTAATAAGAAAATCTCCTTGTCATTATTTGGGGAATAGTGGTCCAAAGAAATTCCAACAAGAAAGACCTACTACACTAAACTGTTTCTGCCAAAAGTGTGACCTATGGCCCAGCATCTTCACCACCATCTTGAAGCTATATAGAAACAAAAGATCTTGGGTCTTCTTCAAGTGAATCAGACTTTTAATTTCAATCAGAGAAATTTCACATGAAGTAAGGTATGAATCATTGTGTTGGAACTCAAATTAAAAACTGAAACCCCATTGATAACATGGATGAATAAATAATATCCTTATCAAAGTGTCTCCTTTGGAAAATCTGTTTGTATGAAT